CTCAGCGTGACTACGAGCTGCACTCCCTCGACTTCTCCACAGCTTTCTTGTAGGGTAGCCTTCACGAGGCCATCTGGCTGCGCTGTCCACCTGGCTTTACTGGGTCGTTTCCTGAGGGTACCCAGTGGAGCCTACGGCGACCAGTTTATGGCCTGTGTCAGGCACCTCGCGAGTGGCATGACACATTGAGGACAACACTTGCGGCTCTTGGGTTTGCTCCTTCGACTGCTGACCCGTCGCTGTTTCTGCGCACCGACACTACCCTGCTGCCGTTCTACGTTCTCATATACGTCCACGACTTGGTTTTTGCTACTGCTCACATGGAGGCGCTGGCCCTAGTGAGGGCGGAGCTGCAGGAGAGACACACCTACACTGACCTGGGTGAGCTGCGGAGCTATCTTGGCCTGCATATCACCCGGGACAGAGAACGGCGCACCATCACCCTGACTCAGTCACACATGGTGCACCGAGTCCTTCAGCGCTTCGGCTTCCAGTACTCCTCGCCACAGCCCACTCCTCTGTCTAATGGCCACTCGCTCTTAGCTCCACCTTCAGATGAGTCCGTAGAGCCGAGTGGTCCGTACCCAAAGCTTGTGGGTTGCCTCATGTACCTGATGACTTGCACACTATATGACCTTGCGTACCCTCTCAGCCTTCTGGCTCGCTATGTGGCTCCCGATTGACACCGAAAGGTGCACTGGGATGCTGCGAAGAGGGTACTGTGTTACTTGTGCAATACGTCGGGCATGGGGCTAGTGCTTGGAGGACAGGGTTCAGTGGTACTCACAGGACACTCCGACGCTTCTTGGGCCGACGTACACGCGACTCAGCGTTCGTCACAGGGTTACACCTTCAGTTTTGGATCTGGTTCTATCTCGTGGAGGTCCACTCGTTCTTCTTCTGTGCTTCGCTCTAGCTGTGAGGCCGAGATCTATCCTGGGGCCATGGCTGCACAGGAGCTACGATGGCTGACCTACCTGCTGATTGACTTGGGGGAGCGGCCTCGTTCTCCTCTAGTTCTGTACGTCGACAACAAGGCAATGCTTGCCTTGTGTCACAAGCAGAGACTGGAGCACAGAACGAAGCACATTGCTCTTCGCTACTTTCTTGCTCGAGAGCTGCAGCAGCGTCGTCAGCTCCGCCTTTCCTACGTGGCCTCGCGGGCCAACACTGCTGATGTCTTCACCAAGGCCCTTGGGTCTGGTGATCATCAGTGTTTCTGCACTGCTCTTGGGCTTGTGCCCACTCTGCCTCACCTGTTGGTTGCTTGACTTGCACTTGTTGTACACTGATATATATCTTTATACCTGCTTGTTCACTCTTGCTATGCTGTAATCAGTGTACTGCCTTGCTATTATAACTCTGCATGTGAATTGGCCTTGTGGCCGCTTGCTTGTGCTCAGATTGTGTGGTGTCCTTGAGATCCACCCCGAGCTTTGCTTTGCTTTGTTCTCTTGCTTGACTGGTCTTGTAACCACTGTTTAGTTTGGCTATCCCCTCCTTCACCTATGGGGGTGTGTCAAAACATTATATGTTTCTAGCTTGTCTAGGCTATGTAGGGGTTATCATTAGAGGGTACAACTCTTTTCTCGACAATCTTGTACCCCCCCCCAACCTAATCGACATTCATTCTCCTCACATGATTCTAACATGGTATTAGAGCGGTCTCAGGTTCGAATCCCAGTGTATGCACATGTAGGCCGTTGCCGCTGTGCTCAGTCCTGGGCCTCCCAGTGTGGGGGGGTGTTAGTAGATATGCATTGTGGATGCCCGATTGATCCTAGGGGGGTTACAAGCGCATTCGCATGGGGGGTTATGGGCGCACAAACCCGCTACACAAACAAGCCCTTTTATCCCAATGGTCTAGTGGTAGGGATTCTGACAAATAGTGCTCATCCATATTCCAAGAGCTGTAGTAGACGGAACCTTACTCTTGTTGGAAATATATAGTTCGCGCTTCTAATGTGTCGAACACTACAACGTAAGCGAAGCGAACTACAACCAAGCAACAGCGAGACAACCAAAGAGGTTGACAGGAAGACAACAGCAAGAGGTTAAGTAAAGGTCAAAGGTCAACGACCTTTGACTCGCCGAAAAGCAGTGCGACAGCAAGGACACATAACTGACTCACTATTGAGCAGTTACCCGAGTTGTCGCTATATCGAGTTCTCACATACGAGTGCAAGGTGGTTCAACCAGTTCACCGATACGCTTCCGCTAATACATCACTATTCTGAGCCTTAGTCTTGAAAACGATCCTAAGGGCCTTTCTCAGCCCAACATGGTATGAGAGCTTCCAAGACAAGACTCAACTCTGTTCAACTTCCTACAACAACAGAAGACATGGAAACACTGATAGAAAGAAGCTCGTCTACTGGATCTCCCGACACTACTCCTACTCCACCGCCAGCCTCTGGACTGCAGACAGAAGGAGGCACAACTCAAAAACCAGCTGCTGAGTCAATTGAAACTCCTGCAAACCAAGCAACCGGCTTCGACCCAAGTATGATGGAGAAGTTCTTCTCCTTCATGTCGTTCTACGAGCAACATCAACAAGTGGCACCTGCGTAGTCAAACAACAGTGACAACAACAACGGAGTTACTCCCATGAGTCTTGACAGCTCATCTTTTGCACGCAGAAATCAACAGCCTACCTTCGCACCGTATGAGCCTCAACGCGGCTCTGTCAGCTTCATGCCGAATCAACTCCCACCTGGACAAGAGACGAAGACACTGGATGCACTTCAGTTGCAGTCACAATTCGCACACGTGCTGAAACTGCAAACATCAACACCATTTGACGGAAAGGACTTCTATACCTGGTCCTTCGAATTCGAGCTGATGATGGAAGGCGCTCAAATTCTTGGCTTCTTCGACGGCTTCCTGCCATATCCAACGCATGGGGCACAGTACAAAAAGCAGCAGTACACGTATCACTCACTAATGGCGTACACCATACTCCTGCGAAACATAACGGCAAACGAGCAGCATGAGATTCGGTCTTATCGCGGATACGGAAACTCCGCCGAGCTCGCGTACAACCACCTGAAGAACCTGTATCAAGCAACCGACAACGTTAATCAAAGTCGTCTCATGGCGCAATTGACAACGGTCCAAATGAGCCGAAAAGGGAATGGCATATATCAGACGCTATCGCGGTCTGCGTGATAGACTCCTTTGATGCGGCGGATCAATATCCGAAGAAGCTTTTGTCACTGTCATCATCACAGGCCTCGGTCCTCAGTGGCGCTCCACCCGGGCCATTCTTCGAGCCCATGGAAGAATCTCCGAAGCAAACCTCTGCACCGAAATTCACGCCGAACAACAAGACATGGACCTGCACAAAGAACGTCACAATAAAAGGGCATCAGCACCAGAGTTCGCTTTTCACACTCAACGGCGCTACAACAACAACAACCGACAGAACGAGCATCAAAGACGAAGACACGTACCACCATTCTGCCACCTCTATCGAACGTCTGGCCACTCTCGTATTCACTGCCCGAATCAACAACAATCGACACCACCACCACGTCAGCTTCGACCTTCAAGTAGTCAAGTGGCTTCCACATCACCACTAAACTTGAATTCATCTCAAAGCCGACAGCACAACCCAGGAATTCAAGCTGTACAACGGGAAAGGTGGAGTTTACATTGGGAAAGCGGTCCTGAAGAACAACGTTTTCCTCCTCGACTTCGTCCCAGATCAAGGAACTGCTGACAGCGACGCGATCGTCAACTTCACCACTTGGTCGCGCCCACCAGATCTCGACCCAAACTTCAGCCCCGGAGGCTTCTGGTACTCACACACTAAACCTGAAGCAGAACGAACAAGAGCATTAGCAGTGATTCAACAGACAACAGCAGCAGAGACAACAGCAGCAGCAACAACATCGGTAGCAGCAGAGACAACAGCAGCAGCAGCAACATCGGCAGAAGCAGAAGCAACAACAACAGCACCAGCACCAATCGCCAGCTCTTCATCAGCACCAGCTCGTCACCGATGTAGTAATAAAGTTGCTTTCCGCTGCAAAGCTCATGTGACGTGCGACATTACTAAGTGTTTTTATTTTGCTTGCAGTCAAGAGGCGCCAGAATATGTGTCAAAGTTCAAAGACATTTTTTACAAAGCAGAGTTCAGCGACGTCGTGTTTGAGGCTTCTGATGGGACCAGGATTCCAGCACATCGCAACGTCGTCGCTATATGGTACCTTATCGCTGTCCTAAGAAACATATCATGCATCATCGCTTTCTTTTATTCAGGTCTTCGCTGCTGGAAAACAGATGGAAGAGCAATCCAAGCAAGAAAAAACCGGTTGTGAGAATAGAGCACCTGGATGGTTCGGCATTGAAGCAATTTCTCCCGTTTATGTACGGTCATGAAATAACAGTTTCATTGGAGTCCATCAAGGTATGCATGCGTTGCGCTTTTTGTGTTCGAGTCCCTGAGTACATTCAACAACATGAGTTAAGATACTCGGGACCATGAGGTGGCAAGTAAGCTTGTTACCATGACATGGAGTTTCTTCGATGCGGATTCAGACAATGAAGTAGGTGACGAAGCAGGCGATGAAGGTGACGAAGTGGATGATGAAGGTGGTTTCAGAACTTGAACAATGAAGCGACTCCGATAATGAAGAATGGGAGTGGAGAGATGGCTGTCTGAAGAGAATGGTGTATTCTGTTTTTTTTTTTTTAGTTGCTGGTTTTTTTTTGTTTTTGTGTGTGAACCATGGCCCATGACGATGTCTTAACGGGTATATTTGTGCACACAGCATTCGATCACTCATCAGAAATTCATCTCTATTTGAGATCCAACATTGATGCAATCAAGAAGCCGTAACGTTCAAGGCAGCCATCTCTCCACCAGAACAGAATGCATTGGCAATCCCCACCATTCAGAAGGTACGAACCAAGCCTGAGCCCCTGTTGAAATCATCGCTTCAAAGGTGCACAACCACTGCCTGTTTTACAAAAGAGCTATCTGCAATAACATCAAATCATGCCAGCGCCCTGTACTTAAGACGTGATGGTTCTTTGTTCCCAAGCCTCCTCCTCCTGTCCTCCTCGTAGTCGCTGTACGAGCCTTCGAACCAAACCACCTGCTTCGGAACGTACAGGGTAGAGATGAAAGAGCCTTGCAATGGAAAAGAAGCCATGCTGTGCTGCGACAAGTGCATGCCGACACATGTCACGACTTTTGAGGCGCCTCAAAAGTTTTGAGGCGCCTCAAAAGTCGACACATGTCATGCAGTCTTAGGCTGCCGCAACAAACATCAAGGGGCACAATGAACCTTAAAACCTCAGAAACGAAGAAGAAAAAGAAAGTGGAACACATTGAACCTCCATGCCTCATACCGTAAAAGAAGCAAACAAAAGCACAACACCAAGAACCTCTATACAGAAACGAATAAAAAATTAGGAGAAATGAAGTAGAATGCTGGCTATGCATGCTAACACCACACGTGTCCATAATGTCTCTAAAATTACACATCACGCATCCCGCAAGCCCCTGAATCACATCCTCCAGCAAAATATTGGAGTCACTTTTCACAGTGCTTCCAAAAAAATGTAAAGTGACGTACCTTGGAGTCGCCTTCAAATGCCATGATATGTGTGGCAATGCGGTCCAGGAACCAGCGGTCGTGAGAGATGACAATCACGCATCCCGCAAACCCCTGAATCGCGTCCTCCAGCGCCCTCAGCGTGTCAACATCGAGGTCGTTGGTGGGCTCGTCCAGCATGAGCAGGTTGCCTCCGCGCCTCATGATGCGTGCCAGGTGCACGCGGTTCCTCTCGCCGCCCGACAGCACGCCCACCTTCTTCTGCTGGTCCGCCCCTTTGAAGTTGTACCACGCGCAGTACGCCCGGCTGTTCACCTTGCGCTCGCCTGGGGGTGAAGGTAGGGGGAGGGAGGGAGGGAGCGGAAGAAGCAGCAGAAGCACACGTGTGACTGTACAAGAGGTGCGCGCAGTTCCTCTGTCCTTCTGAAAGCACTCGGGCTGGTCCGCCCCCTTGAAGTTGTACCACGCGCAGTACGCCCGGCTGTTCACCTTGCGCTCGCCTGGGGGTGGGTGGTGGGAAAGAAAGACAGGAAGGGGGAAGGCAGCTGAGAAACTGCAATCATGAATGTTAGTGCATGAGGTACACACTGTTCTCTTCTCCACCTGACAGCATGCCTGCTGGTCCGCCCCCTTGAAGTTGTACCACGCACAGTACGCCCGGCTGTTCACCTTGCGCTCGCCTGGGGTTGGGAGGAAGGAGGGAGAGGGGGAGCGAGAGAGGGAAAGGCAGGCACGTGACGGTAGCATATGTGACTGTACTAGGGGACAAGTATAACTAGCACACCCACAAAATTGTGACTGTACACATTATAGCTCACACCCATAAGAACCCACACCCAACACGCCCCACCTATCTCCACCAAACACAAGTCAACAATTCACCGCTAAAGGACAAACAAACCCACCCAGAAGGATCTCATCTGCGCCGCCCGTGATCTCCTCAAACACCGTCTTGTTCGGATCCAGCGCGTCGCGTGATTGGTCCACATAGAGCGGCGCCACCGTGTCTCCCACTCGCAAAGTCCCCTCATTGGGGCTATCCTGCCCCACGATCATGCGGAACAGGGTTGACTTTCCGGCACCATTGCCACCAATCACCCCCACAATGCCTGCATGTGAAGGGAGGAGTGGAATAGGGAAGGAAAGAGCTTATAAGACTTGCGACTGAGTGCCCCCATCAGGACTGTCGTGCTAATAAGACATTGGAGGGCACAGCCACATGCCACCGCACACCTCCAGGCGGAAGGGTGAAGCTGACCCCATCTATGAGCATACATACATGTGAGACACATGGCCTGCCCCCAATAGGTGCATCCCACATCATGGCATGCCATGCTCTCCTGCTATACCTCCAGGCGGCAGTGTGAAGTTGACCCCATCCATAAGAACGCGCTCCCCAAACGCCTTTGCAACCCCCTCCGCCTCCACCACCACATCACCCAGCCGTGGGCCCGGCGGCAGAAACATGCTCTCCAGCCTCTCCTCCCGCGAGTACTGCCCCGCCTGAATGACCAACTCCTCGTAGGCTCGCATGCGCGCCTGTGGGAGGGGGACAAGAGAGGAGACGGGCACTACCAGTGAGGGCAGGGCGGCAGAAACATGCTCGCCAGCTTCTCCTCCCGCGAGTACTGCCCCACCTGAATGATCAGCTCTTCATACGCCCGCATGCGCGCCTGAGGGGGGTGGTGGGGTGGGAGGGTAGATTGGCAGGTGGGCATGCGTGGGTAGATGAACGCGCCTCCACCACCACGTCTCCCAGCCGCGGCCCCGGCAGCAGAAACATGCTCTCCTCCAGCTTCTCCTCTCGGGAATACTGTCTGGCTTGGATGACCAGCTCCTCATATGCTCGCATGCGCGCCTGAGGGAGGAAGGGGAGGAAGTTTGAGGGGAGGGGGAGAACAGGATCTTCCAGTGAGGGCAGAAACATGCTCTCCAGCCTCTCCTCTCGCGAGTACTGGCCCACCTGAATGACCAGCTCCTCATACGCCCTCATGCGCGCCTGGGGACGGGGAGGAGGGTTGAGGGGAGGGGAGGAGGCAGGCACTACCAGTGAGGGCAGGGCGGCAGAAACATGCTCTCCAGCCTCTCCTCTCGCGAGTACTGGCTGGCTTGGATGACCAGCTCCTCGTACGCTCGCATAGGCCTGTGGGTTGAGGGGTTTTGAGGGAGGTAGGGACAGGTTGGAGAGAGACGGAGAACGCCACTCCTAGAAAGCACGAACATATTCTCTCGAGCTTCTCCTTGTGGGAATACTGGCTGGCTGGCCTGAATTGTCATTTACTAGTACGTATGCTACACCCCCTCCCCGCATTCCTCACCTTGCCCTTCTTCTGCTGCCCCTTGGCCTTCTGTCGAATCCACTCCATCTCTCGCTCCATGACCCGCTGCAGCGCCGACTGCTGCTTCTCCTCCGCCCCCAGGCGCTGCGCCTTGTTCTCGAGCCAAGCCGAGTAGTTGCCCTCAAAGGGTATGCCGTGCCCGCGATCCAGCTCCAGAATCCACCCTGCCACCTGGGCACATGCAAGGGGAGGCAAGGGGGAGAAGGCGAAAGAGGGGATTGCGGTGATGATGCCAAGCCGAGTAGTTCCCCTCAAAGGGTATGCCGTGCCCGCGATCCAACTCCAGAATCCGCCCCTGCCACCTGGCCACACGGGAGAGAGGAGGGAGACAAGCAGGGGATCGTGGTAAGGCTGGCTCCTGCTGCTGCTCCTGCTGCTGCTCCTGCTGCTGCTCCTGCTGCTCGACCCCATCCATGCGTTGTCGGCATGTGATGAGGAGAATCCGAAGGAGCATGCTGCTGCCAGGCGCTGTGCCTTGTTCTCGAGCCAAGCCGAGTAGTTCCCCTCAAAGGGAATGCCCCGCCGTTGATCCAGCTCCAGAATCCACCCTGCCACCTGGGCACAGTGGGAGGGGAAGATAAGAGAGGGGGAAAACGTAACAGCATAGGCGGTGCGGTGGGGAGGGTGACTGAGTGATGATGATGACCCGCGGGCAGGCAGGGGGCATTCTTCAGCTCAAGAATCATTTTTGAGGCGCCTCACAAATCAAGAATCATTTTTGAGGCGCCTCACAAATCAAGAATAAATTTTTAGGCGCCTCACAAATCAAGAATCCAGCACTGCACCGCCACCCATCAGATCAGACTAACTTCTCATCTCACTCACATTATCAAGGAAGTAGCAGTGGTCGTGAGTGATGGCCAGGCCACCACCAGCACACCACAGTGCCACCAGCACACCACAGTGCCACCAGCACACCACAGTGCCACCAGCACACCACAGTGCCACCAGCACACCACAGTGCCACCAGCACACCACAGTGCCACCAGCACACCACAGTGCCACCAGCACACCACAGTGCCACCAGCACACCACAGTGCCACCAGCACACCACAGTGCCACCAGCACACCACAGTGCCACCAGCACACCACAGTGCCTTTGACCTCCGCCAGATACCGCTCCAGCCATGCCACTGCCTCCGCATCCCATCAGGGCTGACCTGTTTCTCTATACCACCACCGTTCCACCACCCTGCCACTGCTGATGAACACACGTACCACACTACACCTGCCACTACCACTCATTACCATCACGCCTCACTCACATTATCCAGGAAGTATCGGTCGTGAGTGATGGCGACGACAGTGCCTTTGAACTCCGCCAGATACCGCTCCAGCCATGCCACTGCCTCCGCGTCCAGGTGGTTGGTGGGCTCGTCCAGAAACAGAATGTCGGGCGCCTGAGGGTGGGAGATGTAAAGGGGGGGGTGGGGGGTGGGGGAAGGGGAGGATGGGGTGGAAGAGTGCCTCCATCCAGCCACGCCACTGCCTCCGCATCGAGATGGTTGGTGGGCTCGTCCAGAAACAGAATGTCGGGCACCTGAGGGTGGGAGATGTAAAGGGGGGGGGGGGGGGGGGGGGTGTGGGGGGTGGGGGAAGGGGAGGATGGGGTGGAAGAGTGCCTGCCGTGCCACTGCCTCCACGTCCAGATGGTTCGTGGGCTCGTCCAGAAACAGAATGTCGGGCGACAGATGGTGGGAGATCTAAAAGGGGGGAGGGGGGTGTGAGGGGGGGGAGAAGGGGGGTGGGATGCAAGAGTGGCTTCATCCAGCCATGCCACTGCCTCCGCACCGAGGTGAGGTGGTTGGTGGGCTCGTATAGAAACGTGTAGAGAGGGTGTCTTTGAGACGTCTCAAAAACGCCTCCGCACCGACCGAGGTGAGGTGGTTGGTGGGCTCGTATAGAACGAGAATGTCCGTCATCTGAAAAGGCACCCCCCACCCAGTACATAGGGATGCCTTTTCAGTCCACTCAGAAGTGCTGCATCGCAACACGCAAAAGTGACTCAACAGTCGTCTCTAAAGCTACGCGCCGCCTCCTCTCCTCTCCCTCCCCACCGCTGACCTTAGCTGCAGAGAAAGATGTTTGAGTGACAGCATGTTACGAAACACGCCAGTCTTCAGAAGCAGCACTGAGCACTCCCATTTTCCCATGCCCACCCCAAAACCCCCCGTCTCCCCATTCCCTCCCTCCCCTTACCTGCAGCAGCAAGCGGCACAGAGCCACGCGCCTCCTCTCCCCCCCACTCAGGTTCGCCACGGGGGCCTCCCCTGGGGGACAGCGCAGTGCGTCCATGGCTCTCTGTGGGGGGGGCAGGCGGAGAAGTGGTTGGATGTGGATGGATGGACATGTAATGTAGGTTGCCACTCAGACTTGCCACTCAGACTTGCCACTCAGACTTGCCACTCAGACTTGCCACTCAGACTTGCCACTCATTGGGATCGAAACATGCATGGCATACTGAGAGGCACATGTGCACAAATTGCCTAGCAGACGGGTTGACCTACAGCTGCCTGTCTCTGCTGTTTCCACCTGAGGACCCACCTGCTACTATCAGCCTCTGCTGTTTCCACCTGGATCCACCTGCTGCTGTCTGCCTCTGCTCTTTCCACCTGCGAACTCTCCTGCAGCTTATTGAGATTGTGTTTCAGAGGACTTGCTGCAGCTGCCTGCCTCTGTTGTTTCCACCTGGGGACGCACCTGAAGTTGTCTGTCGAGCTCCCAGCCGTTGCATGCGTCCAGGCGGGTCTGCAGGCGCTCCATCTGAGTCATCAGCTTGTCCATGTCCGCATCGCCCGCTGACGCCATCGCCACACTCACCTGATGGATTCAAGCACGGATGGATACAGTAGAAGCACGCGTGGATACAGTAGAAGCACACGTGGATACAGTAGAAGCACACGTGGATACAGTAGAAGCACGCGTGGATACAAGCACACTCGGATATAAGCAAGCACAGATGAAGGCATGAACTGCTTAATCTCTACCCTCCTCTCCACGCATTTCGTTCTTTCGCGATTGCTTCCATCCACCCCAAGTCTCCTCATCCTCCTCACCTCCTCACCTCCTCCCTTCCTCCTCCTCACGTCCTCCTCACCTCCTCTTCCTCCTCCTTCCTCCTCCTCACCTCCTCCTCACCTCCTCTTCCTCCTCCTCACCTCCTCCTCACCTCCTCCTCACCTCCTCCTTCTCTCACCTCCTCAAACTCCTGAAGCAGGTCCTTGGTCTCCTTAAGAGCAGGTTCGATATTATCCATAACAGTCACCCCATCATCCAGCAGCGGCTCCTGCTCCAGGTACCCAATCTTGATGCTCGGATCAATGTAATAGTCCCCTTCAAACGTCGTGTCTTTCCCAGCCAGAAGGCGCATGAGGGAGCTCTTGCCCGCCCCGTTGGCCCCCAGGAACCCGATCTTGGCACCCAGGTACATGCCCAGGCTGATGTTCTTCAGGATCTCCTTGCCGTTGGGGGCGACCTGAAGGGGTGGGGGAGAGGAGGGATGCACATGAAAGAACTCTTCCCGGCTCCGTTGGCCCCCAGAAACCCGATCTTGGCGCCCAGGTACATGCCCAGGCTGATGTTCTTCAGGATCTCCTTGCCGTTGGGGGCGACCTGAAGGGGTGGGGGAGAGGAGGGATGCACATGAAAGAACTCTTCCCGGCTCCGTTGGCCCCCAGAAACCCGATCTTGGCGCCCAGGTACATGCCCAGGCTGATGTTCTTCAGGATCTCCTTGCCGTTGGGGGCGACCTGAAGGGGTGGGGGAGAGGAGGGATGCACATGAAAGAACTCTTCCCGGCTCCGTTGGCCCCCAGAAACCCGATCTTGGCGCCCAGGTACATGCCCAGGCTGATGTTCTTCAGGATCTCCTTGCCGTTGGGGGCCACCTGAAGGGGTGGGGGAGAGGAGGGATGCACATGAAAGAACTCTTCCCGGCTCCGTTGGCCCCCAGAAACCCGATCTTGGCGCCCAGGTACATGCCCAGGCTGATGTTCTTCAGGATCTCCTTGCCGTTGGGGGCGACCTGAAGGGGTGGGGGAGAGGAGGGATGCACATGAAAGAACTCTTCCCGGCTCCGTTGGCCCCCAGAAACCCGATCTTGGCGCCCAGGTACATGCCCAGGCTGATGTTCTTCAGGATCTCCTTGCCGTTGGGGGCGACCTGAAGGGGTGGGGGAGAGGAGGGATGCACATGAAAGAACTCTTCCCGGCTCCGTTGGCCCCCAGAAACCCGATCTTGGCGCCCAGGTACATGCCCAGGCTGATGTTCTTCAGGATCTCCTTGCCGTTGGGGGCGACCTGAAGGGGTGGGGGAGAGGAGGGATGCACATGAAAGAACTCTTCCCGGCTCCGTTGGCCCCCAGAAACCCGATCTTGGCGCCCAGGTACATGCCCAGGCTGATGTTCTTCAGGATCTCCTTGCCGTTGGGGGCGACCTGAAGGGGTGGGGGAGAGGAGGGATGCACATGAAAGAACTCTTCCCGGCTCCGTTGGCCCCCAGAAACCCGATCTTGGCGCCCAGGTACATGCCCAGGCTGATGTTCTTCAGGATCTCCTTGCCGTTGGGGGCGACCTGAAGGGGTGGGGGAGAGGAGGGATGCACATGAAAGAACTCTTCCCGGCTCCGTTGGCCCCCAGAAACCCGATCTTGGCGCCCAGGTACATGCCCAGGCTGATGTTCTTCAGGATCTCCTTGCCGTTGGGGGCGACCTGAAGGGGTGGGGGAGAGGAGGGATGCACATGAAAGAACTCTTCCCGGCTCCGTTGGCCCCCAGAAACCCGATCTTGGCGCCCAGGTACATGCCCAGGCTGATGTTCTTCAGGATCTCCTTGCCGTTGGGGGCGACCTGAAGGGGTGGGGGAGAGGAGGGATGCACATGAAAGAACTCTTCCCGGCTCCGTTGGCCCCCAGAAACCCGATCTTGGCGCCCAGGTACATGCCCAGGCTGATGTTCTTCAGGATCTCCTTGCCGTTGGGGGCGACCTGAAGGGGTGGGGGAGAGGAGGGATGCACATGAAAGAACTCTTCCCGGCTCCGTTGGCCCCCAGAAACCCGATCTTGGCGCCCAGGTACATGCCAGGCTGATGTTCTTCAGGATCTCCTTGCCGTTGGGGGCGACCTGAAGGGGTGGGGGAGAGGAGGGATGCACATGAAAGAACTCTTCCCGGCTCCGTTGGCCCCCAGAAACCCGATCTTGGCGCCCAGGTACATGCCCAGGCTGATGTTCTTCAGGATCTCCTTGCCGTTGGGGGCGACCTGAAGGGGTGGGGGAGAGGAGGGATGCACATGAAAGAACTCTTCCCGGCTCCGTTGGCCCCCAGAAACCCGATCTTGGCGCCCAGGTACATGCCCAGGCTGATGTTCTTCAGGATCTCCTTGCCGTTGGGGGCGACCTGAAGGGGTGGGGGAGAGGAGGGATGCACATGAAAGAACTCTTCCCGGCTCCGTTGGCCCCCAGAAACCCGATCTTGGCGCCCAGGTACATGCCCAGGCTGATGTTCTTCAGGATCTCCTTGCCGTTGGGGGCGACCTGAAGGGGTGGGGGAGAGGAGGGATGCACATGAAAGAACTCTTCCCGGCTCCGTTGGCCCCCAGAAACCCGATCTTGGCGCCCAGGTACATGCCCAGGCTGATGTTCTTCAGGATCTCCTTGCCGTTGGGGGCGACCTGAAGGGGTGGGGGAGAGGAGGGATGCACATGAAAGAACTCTTCCCGGCTCCGTTGGCCCCCAGAAACCCGATCTTGGCGCCCAGGTACATGCCCAGGCTGATGTTCTTCAGGATCTCCTTGCCGTTGGGGGCCACCTGAAGGGGTGGGGGAGAGGAGGGATGCACATGAAAGAACTCTTCCCGGCTCCGTTGGCCCCCAGAAACCCGATCTTGGCGCCCAGGTACATCCCCAGACTGATGTTCTTTAGGATCTCCTTGCTTGGTTACAGTGGAGGGAGGTGGAGTGAGAGAGGGAAAAGAGGGGGAAAGAGGGGGAAAGAGGGGCAAAGAGGGGGAAAGAGGGGGAAAGAGGGGGAAAGAGGGTAATCAAATGATCGCCCAGGTACATCCCCAGGCTGATGTTCTTCAGAATCTCCTTGCCATTGGGGGCGACCTGCTTGGCTAGAGGTGAGCATCGGGTGGGAGGAGGGTGGTGGAGTGAGGGGGAGGAGGGAGAGAAATCACCCAACGTATATCTCTAGAATGCGCATGAAACCTCGGGTCGTTGGAGACACGTGTATAACGAGTATTTTTGAGACGCCTCAAAAATCACCCGAGGTACATCTCTAGAGTGCGCATGAAACCTCCACCCGAGGTCGTTGGAGACCTCCACCGCGCCCGCGTCGCCTTTCTTGAACAGAACGGATGCGCGAGGGGCACCGAACGCAACAGCATTTGCTTTGCACGCAACGGGGAATCTCTGCCACGAAAATCTCTAGTAGAGTTGATTTTCAACGTGCCTTGCGGAGGCGGTTCACGCTGAGGATGATCTTCCGCGTCTCGTTCTGGTACGCCGTCCCGCGGTCCGCGGACGGAGATTTGCTGCCCGCCGACTTCAGCTTCCCCCCGCCGCCGCCGCCTCCGCCGCCACCTGCGCCGCCTCCGCCTCCGCCTCCGCCGGCTCTTCCGCCGCCTCCCCCGCCCTTCTTCCCCTTCTTGCCCGCCATAGCGACCACTTTCGCAGTGCGCGGTGCCGTCGATGTAGAATGCCGCCGTGCCTTGAGGTGCAACGTGGAGCCCTTCCATTGGAGGAGATCAACGCCGCCAATTTGGTTACATTTGGAGGCCAATGTTGAGGGAATGCCACGTTGGACTGTCAGTTCCGAACCAACAGCCAGGCATCTTGGGGAATAACTGAGAGCCATGGTGGGAGGGGGGGAAGAGAAGTGAAGAGGATGTGGATTATCTGTTTTGCTAACGATATATTAATTGTGTTCAGCCACATCAACATCCGTTGTCGTCCAGCCTGGTTAGGATACCTGGCTTTCACCCAGGCGACCCGGGTTCAAATCCCGGCAACGGAGCATTTTGCTTCTGTTAGTTTTGGTTGGGAGAGCTGCTGGTTGGTTCAAATATTCTGGTCAGCTGTCGTCAGAGGCATTCCTTTCGGTTTGGTTGATTGTCATCAATCGTGATGGGTCAGCAAAGGCACTGGTTGGCCGACGAACTTCCGTTTTGCGGAAGTGGTCTGCCACAAAACCTGCCCGTGACATAACGTGACCACGTGCAATTCATTTTCGGAGTGACAGGGAAATTCAGAAGCGGGCTGACAACGCTCCCCCATACAGTGTCGATTGGGGGTCACAACGTGCCTGCATTTTGGCTCTGAATATTTCCCGCAAATGAGCGACTCCAATGGATGCTGACGGCTCCACAATCAACCACGGAGCGAGGGCCACGTCGGATGTGTCCGCCCATCAAACCTCCCATCCCGTCGTCCATGCGATGGCCTTCCGTCACAAAAACTTCCACCATCAGCCCACACAGACAGCCGTAAGTCCAGTTTTGATGCGGAACTGACCGGAGGGGCTCGACATTTTCCGGCATTCCCGAACTCGAGGCGCGTCAAAACCATCATCCCCCTTGGGTGGGAATTGTGCAGCTGCCGAATCAAACATTTGCCTCGATTTCATCCACTCCACTCCACAGCTCTATCGCTTGGGAATTGTACAGCTGATCAGGCTCAGGCTTCAGACTTGAACAGCATTCTAGACTATCAGAGCTCTAGTGATCAAGTAGCATTCTCATACTCAGCTGCCTTTTACTCCAGTAGGTGCGGGGCCTCATACCCTGTTGTAGGTTGTTCGCGACACTATTCTACTCATTTGCGCGCGTTTAAAAAAATCTGCGCTTTGACACGTTTGAAGCGAAGGATTGGCCTATGCAGCAGCGTGTCTAGTAGATTCTCGCAAAGTGCGTAACTACCTCAGTGTACTTAATCTTACTATACAAACTCAGTATAGAAGTGGCAAGTTTGAGGAGAAGCCATGCCGCTTGTTGATGGCATGACCGCATTAGACGAAGCCCTGGAGGCTCCCGAATGGAACAGCCTCGGAGCAGTCAGGACAGCAATTCGGAAGCAGCTAACACAACAAGGTAGCGCTTTTTAATCTCTTCAAGATCGTAAAAAAATCAACGCTGTTACGGTGCACTAATTGGAAGTCCAAGAACCGTCAGGTTCTAAGCTGCGAATTAACACAAATTATATGACCTACAATCAATATCTACTGTATCATTCGACCTTCTCTGTGCAGGTGCAGGAGCTACAAATCCATCGGAGGAAGTCATAAATCATTGGTCGGGGGAAATGATGGGGGTGCTGAACGACATGAACAGTGCTAAAGCTGATGCTATGAAGGATGTGGCACCTGGAGATCGCCGAGCATGGAAGGTACGACGCGTGGTCATGCGCCTACGCTTATTGCCCGAAACAGGAGAGTCGTTTTTGTTAATTCGAGCGCCATAGTGGAGGCGGACTGAATGACGTCGTTAAGATCCACGGAATTTGGGAAAACGAAAAATGAGCATACCTCAATAAAGAATACTGAAGAATAAATCCCTATCCGCAGGTGTGCGAGGAGGGTCCGGAGCATCGAGCCATGGTGCGCAAGGGCCCAGAAGGGACGGAAGTGCACACGCTGCTGATGGAGGGAATCGTGAACGGACCCGTGGAAGCAGCCGTCGCTATGACTCGCGATGTCACCTTCTTCAAAGAATGGTACGCTGAACTTTTGCCCTCGCATGGTGGTTTACTGCCTTGTGGCATTCGTCGATGGCTGTGCAACGCCCGACAACACAATGGAAGGGTACAGATGCACAACCAAAAGAAAAAACACAGTTTGCTCGTTTCCCGCGCAACTCGTAACATTGTGACTCAAAGTCTCGTTTCTTCTCTCCTTGTCGTTTCAGGTGGCCGCAGCAGAACATGCCAGTGTACAAGGTGATTGAAAACCGGTATCTGAAGCGAATTGGCGACGGATTCGACCTCACCTACATGAGGTGAACCCTTCAACACCACAAACATAAGCCGTCCAACCTTTATGACACACTAATCACATCTGACAAGCATACAAATAAGAAGGCATAGGACTCAAAGGTAGTTAGCAATGCCGTTGGGGAGAAAGTCCCCATTCGCTATGTCATAGCCCTGTCAACAACGGCTCGAGATGCCTTTTCTTGCTGCTGGTTGGATCGAGTTGCTGAAGCAGGTTCAGGACCCCTCGGCCATTTGTTGAGACGTCTCAAAAATCGTTTTTTCTCTTGCTGCTGGTTGAATCGCGTTGCGCGAGCAGGTTCAGGACCCCGTGGCCGTTCCCCGGGAAGGAGTTCGCCTTCATGCTCTTGAGCGTGTACGACGCCAGCACGGGCATGGTCACGACCGTCCTTCAGACGGTGAGTGGCTTAGACATGACTCGTGGGCGGTGGCGTCGTTCGAAATGGCCCCTTGGGTTGGCCCCTTGGGTTTTCTAGTGAAAAGGTTTGCCTTCATGCTCCTGAGCGTGTACGACGCCAACACCGGCATGGTCACCACCGTCCTTCAGACAGTGAGTGCCCGAGTCATGACTCATGGGCGGTGGCGTGATTTGATGGGGGGGAGGGGGACTGACTGGCCGTTCCCCAGGAAGGAGTTCGCCTTCATGCTTTTGAGCGTCTACGACGCCAACACGGGGATGGTCACCACGTTCCTGCAGACGGTGAGTGGCTAGTTCTGACTCGTAGGCGGTGGCGTGGTTTGTGGGGAGGGAGGGGGCCTGGCCGTTCCCTGGGAGGCAGTTCGCCTTTATGCTCTTGAGCGTATGCGACGCTAACATGGGGATGGTCCACGACCGCACTTCAGACGGTGAGTGGCTTTGTGGAAAGAGTCTGATAAATACATCATGTGCCCTCCGCGTCGTCCGCATGACCATCAACGGCTGCTTCGCCGTGGAAGCCCATTCGTGGCCTTTACCACCCCCCCTCCATCCCCACCATCCCCAGCCACCAGAGGACAACACGTTGATCAACCCAGCAAAGCACGGCTTCCCTCAAGAGGCCGTTCCACCTGTACCCTCCGGCGTCGTCCGCATGGCCATCAACGGTGGCTTCACCGTCAAACACCTGGGGGAGAATCGCTGAAATGTTTCCCCTCTAACCCCCCACCTTCCCCTTTGCCCCCGTCCCCAGCCGCCAGAGGATAACATTCTCATCGACCCAGCCAAGCACGGCTTCCCTCGAGAGGCCGTCCCTCCCGAGCCCTCCGGCGTCGTCCGCATGGCCATCAACGGTGGCTTTCTCGGAGAGAAATTGCTTATAATGTTTCCCCTCTATCCCCAACTTCTCCTTTGCCGCACCCCCAGCCACCAGAGGACAGTACTCTCATCGACCCACATAAGCACGGCTTCCCTCGAGAGGCCGTCCCTCCCGTGCCCTCGGGCGTGGTCCGCATGGCCATCAATGGTGGCTTTACCGTGAAGGACTTAGGAGAGAATCGCTGCCACTATCGGGGAATCTTCACCGTCGATCTTAAGATGCCGCCCGCTCTGGTCAACTTTGTAACCAAGGGGTTTGGCGGGATGCTGTTCACGGTGTTTAGCAAAGAGATTGAGTCTGATCTGGCGGATAGCAAAGGAAGCAAGGGGAAGGCGTTTCGGAAGGTTCTGGAGGAGGAGCAACTGTATGTAAGGATCAGAGAGGCTATGGGTGTGCACCGTGCTCGCAAGGAGAAGCAGCAGGAGAGAGTTGGGGGAGGAGGAGGAGGAGCGGTGGTGGCAGCAGCAGGGATGGGTGATGATGGTGAGGAGGAAGAAGAATGGGATGGAGGAGAGTCAGAGGCGTTTTATTCTCCCGCCTCCTCATTCTCCTCCTCCTTCCATGCGCACGCCCTCCCTCACCTCTCCCTCGACCACGCCGCTGCCTCTGAATCACTCCACCCACACGCCACAGAAGGCACGCATCTTCGTGAGGCGCCCCAAATGCTGCTCTCACACGCCTCGGGTATGCAGCGCCGAACCAGCGGTCCTCCTCACTTCAGATCTTCTATCTCCAGGGGTAGGTCGGACGGCCCAGCAGCAGCAAGAGCAGCAGCAGCGGCGGCGGCGGCAGAAGCAGAAGCAGGAGGTGCAGCAGGATGGGTTGGCAGGGGCCGGTTTGGCTTCCGCAGCAGCAGGCGCAAGGCAGAGGAGAGAGCTCGCAAACTCACAGAAGCCATTCCTCCCTTCTCGTCCTCTCTTCGCACGCCCTCTTCACCTGCTGCCTCCCTGGCCTCCTCCCTATCCCAAGCTCGCCTTGAAGACCTGGGCCTGATCCCTGTTGACTCTGCTTCTATATCTTCTCACGAAGCAGCAAGCTACCAGCCCCACCACAGTGACCTGTGTCAGCAGCTGCAGCCTGGTGATTTTGACAGAATCGTGGCAGGAGGTGCTTCAGAAAGCAAGGGAGTGTTTGGCAGTAGTGGGAAGGGGAATGTGGAGGTAGGAAGCAAGATAGGTGGCGGGCTGTTTGGTAGCAGCTGGAGATTCGGCAGCAGCAGCAGCAGAAGCGGCAGAAGCAGCAGCAACAGCAGGAGCAGGAGGGATAGCGACGGTGGTGCAGTAAGGAGGAAAATCCCGGGCAGCCCAGGTCTTGGGCTCTGGTGGAAGAAAAGGTCATCCCGCGTTGCTGATTGCAGCAGCTATGATGACGATGCGTGCTCAGTGGCAGTATCAGCAGTAACAGCAGCGCCACAGTCACAGCCTCCCCCAATGTGGTTGGAATCTCCAGTTCACATGACCAGCCGCAGAGGCAGCACCGGCAGCACCGGCAGCACTGGCAGCGGTGGCATGACTGGTACCGGCAGCAGCACTGGCAGCAGCAGTAGCTCGTGGTCCGCAAGCCCTGTTGTATGGGAGGAGAGGAGAGTGTCTGAAGCAGGGAACAATACGCATGCCAGTGCTGGTGGGGCAGCAGCAGGTGTCTTGAGCCCTGGGTGGGAGTCTGGAAGCACTCACAGCAGCCGAAGCACCCGCAGCAGTAGCAGCAGGGGAAGTAGTACCGTGCGAACTAGAGGAGCGAGCAGCCCGATTCATGGGCAGGTCAATGGACCGGCTGTTCTGGCGGCAGGAGGGGATGCTGTGTCTGGGGCGCCTGTTGGAAAGGGGTTCGGGCGTTACTGTGATGCGATGCTGAAGCAGCAGATGGAGGTGACGCGAAGGCAGGCAACAGAGCGACGGTTTCTCAATTTCTTGAAAGGAGGACGGGAGTTTGATTTTAGTGCTTCAAGATCGAGTGGCCAGGTGTGATCTAATTCACCATTACGGAGTTTTCCAGTGTAAACATCAATACTTGGATGTGTGGGGAGTGTCAAGGCGGCTGAGCCAATAAAAAGCCCAACACAAATCAAAACAATTTACACAAAATGTACAATATCAGCTACTGTACAAGATTACACAAACCGATATACAGTGTAGCACACGCATCTGCTGTGCAGTGAAGAGCAGTCACCAGCCCTAGCCAACTGGCATCAGCTGTACATTAGCTGTAGTGCATACTAACTAGTGCTAGGAACAAACTGGTTGCATTGCATGCTGTTGCTAACCTGCAGTTCCCTCATTGTGCCACCCACACCATCCCCTCTCCTCTCCTCCTCAACCCCCATCACTTGCTCTGCTTTGTGTTGCTGCCCTTGTCCTTGGCACTACCTGGAAGGCTGCCCTTTTTCTGCTATGGAGGGACGATGCAGGGAGGATGACGCTTGGATGCGAACAAAGCAAAAAAACTCAAAAGCATGAAGCAGATAATCGAGAAAACACTGACTATAAAACAGGAGGTGCGGAGAAGAAAGAGTGAAAGATATACGGTAATAAAAATATGAAACTGGTACACCTGCGGTAATCGCAAATGCATTTCTGGTACCCACCTTGGCGCACTTGATCTTGGAGGCCAGCTTCCTTCGCTCCACAGCTACATTGTCAACCTGGTCAGACCCCGCCCGACAATCCCACGGTAACATGACAAGGTACAGTGTCAAAAAAAAAAAATCAACTTTTTATGTGACCACTTCAACGGCCCCTAGACCACTTCCTGGAAAAAAACCAACCTATTGAGTCAAAATCAGAAGAAACACTAATGATCCCAAAGCAAGCCAAACACGGAAGGCACATGCTGACCTGGACATGCAGTGCACACGCTGCAATGCTGAAGAGAGGAAGCCAGTTGCCGTCCATTGCCAGGGTGAGACCGCCCCTGTGGGATCAGAATTAGCATTGCAATGAGGGGTCAAGAGAGGAGATTCAAGAGAGGGGGTCAAGAGAGGAGGCCAATAGAGGAGGTCAATAGGGGAGGCCGATTCTGGGACGTTAAGATTGTTAGGTGTTGTAAACCTAACATAAGATTGGGGTTGCATTTCGGGCACAAGCTAACGATTGGCAAGGGTGATGATGGGCATTGCACACCTGGCATGGATGATGCACACCTGGCATAGGGTGCGGCATAGACGGCTGCGAAGAGGATGTACTTGACATCACGAGAGTCGATCCACGCCAGCACCCAGCATAGGGTGACTATTGGCAATGCACTGCTTGCATAGGGTAATTATGAACATCGCCCACCTGGCATACGGTGCAGCATAGACGGCTGCAAAGAGGATGTACTTGACATCACGAGAGTCGATCCACGCCAGCACCCAGCACTGCCATCATACAATCACATCACACAAATTAAGGCGCCTGACAATCGATACAAGTACACAACTATATGCAGTCACACTCCGCATATTGCCGCACTGAGCCTTGAACATCACCTTTCAGAACCTAATAGAGAAGAAAAACAAATAAAAACTCCCATGCTACAACAAGCAACCATTCCATAAGATCCAGCCATCCCATGCATCTATGGGTCATGAAGTTTCCACTAATGGGAACATTCCATCCATAGCAATCAGTCATTCGTTATAATCACCAGCCAGTTGAAGAACGGAATCAGGCTGACCACCGTCATCACACCCGCGCGCAACTCCCCCAGAGACATCGCCCCTTCCGCCTCCTCCCCCTCCGCCTCCCCCTTCCCGTCCCCCACCCCTACTCCCGCCGCAAGCAGCGCCGCGGCCGCCGCTGATGCAGCATCGTCGTCGCCTGCTCCGTCGGGTCCTTTCGCCTTTCGCGAAAGGAGCGGGAGCGACGGTAGGACGAGCGGCGCGGCGGAGAGTGCGATGGACGTGGCGATCGCTGCGACGAACGGGCCGTCGTCGACGAGCGACACCTGGCACACCGTGATTGGCCGGCGGGGTTGGTGCGAGATCATCGGACGGAGACCCAGGGTGTTGGGACGATGGATGTGACAATAGCGAGAGGGGAGTGTAGCGGTGGAGTGGCTGCGTTGGAACGAACTGAAACGAGGGTTTCCAGATACAGTCGACGCAAGATTTTTGGTAGCACTACCGATCAAACAGGTACTCGAACTAGCCATGGCGGCAGAATCGGAGTTAGAAGCGGTGCGAATTGACGCAGCGTTGAGGACGGGAAACACTACCCCTAGTACATCATTTTCTACCAGACAACAGGGAAATTGATCGCAAACCGTGTAGGAGCGGGGTTAGCGGAAAATTTCCCCTCGATAACAGCGTCAAATACGGTCGCTCGGTGAGACGCGCTCTTAGCGAAGTGTTTGTTACTCGTGATCAACACCCGGCTAGGGCTTGTACTACCGTAGTACCGTGACGGTACGTTTAGAGTCAGCAATAGCAAGCATGCAGCAGAGAACGCCTCTCCAGAAGCCACGTGGTTACTGGTTCCGCAGCTAAAGAGGCAGTGCCAGGTCCTACGTTGATTCTTGGAAATTCCACGTGGACATTGGCAGCTGTTGAACCGAACCGCCCTCGGGACTCGACGCGAGGTTGTGCATTCCCCGGCGTCTCAAAAGAAAGAGGATAAAAAGGCGACAAAAGGATGTGGTTCTCCTCTTGGTACCAAATCTAATAAGCTCGGTCAGAATTTCCAAGAAAAGGTATATGTAATCTCGAGGATGTGACTTCGGCTACTGCTCGGAAGACCAAATTTCGAATCCTGAAATCCTTCGTTTTGAGCTCAGAATGGGATGTATGCTTGCGCAGTGTTTAGCTTGGGCGAGCAAGCGAACAAACAAGCAGAATCCAGATTCTGAAATCCATGTATCGTCGGTTTAGTCTGGTGTGTTACGTTTTAGAACGGTATTCGGATACATCCGCTGGGTACCATGGGATAATTGGGGAACCGCACTGGTTCGGGCACAAACGAGTGAGACTGGAAGGGATTTCTCTGGACTGGACCAGCACAGCACACATGGCAAGAACGCAGGGTGCAGATTTTCCTCGATACCCAAAGCCGCGTTTGCAAGCAGACAGAACTAAGTCTAAGGCGCATTAACTTTCTAAGAACAACTTAACTAGAGTTTTCAGAAGTGTTAAAACACCTAGGAAGAAACCAAAAAGGACATAAACATGCAGCAGCCCATTATTTCATGAAGTCTATTTTGGAGAAAGAATAGGGGATCCAAACCCTGCGTCGTCGCTTAAGTTTTGCGTGTGCACGCTGCGCCTAGGCACCACCACAAATGCAGCACGTGCCTTTCTTCCTCCTCTTCTTGCTGAAGCTTTCCCACGCCGGGAAACTTCCGACTCGCTCGCATATCCAGCTGCTGCAAAACGGCTGCGAATTTGGTCAGAGCTCACACTCTTTACAGGAACCTTAGAAGAAGGACGATTCACGAAAGGCCTGGAGGATTGAGGCTTTACTGCGACGGTTCGAGCAGTGAGTGGGGAAGCACCGGAAGACATTGAAAATGCAGCTGCAGTTACAGCTGCACCAGCAGCCGTTGCAGCAGGAGGAGCAGCAGTACGAGCAGCACCAGCAGCAGCACCAGCAGCATTGGCACCAGCAGCAGAAGTACCAGCAGCATTGACACCAGCAGCAGAAGCAGCACCAGCAGCACCAGCAGCACCAGCAGCAGCACCACCAACACCACCATCACCAGCAGCAGCACCAACAACACCGCCAGCAGCAGCAGCCGGAGCGGCAGAAGCAGCAGCAGCAGCAGCACCTGCTGGGACCATTGTTCCCTGAGTAGCCTCAGCAGCTTCACCAGCAAACTTATCAAAAACATTCCCTGCCCGCCTGCCTATGGCACCTGCAGGCGCAGCGGCACGGATGCCAACAGCAGAACGGATGTCAACAGCAGAACGGATGTCAACAGCAGAACGGATGTCAGCAGCAGAACGGATGTCAGCAGCAAGGATGTTATCAGCAAGCATGTCATCAGAGGTGTCTCCATGCCACGATGCCCTTCGTGCAATGGCCCGGTACCCCCCTCCTTCTGCTGATTTAGGGCCCCCTCCCCTTGGTGATCTAGCCCCCCCAGATGTTGCATTGGCAGGGGGGGATGGGCTATCTGGGTGAAGGTTCCAGGAAACCTGCTTGCCAAATCTGGGAGAAGAAGCCGTGGAGGTAGCAGGTGATTTTAGGATGGAGGGGCGAGCAGTGGGGGATAGGGAGGCGGTGGACGAGTGAGAGGGAGTGAGAGGAGGGGACAGGGATGAGGGAGTGGGAGGGGGGGATCGAGACGAGGGAGTGAGAGGAGGGGATCGAGATGGGGGAGTGAGAGGAGGGGGACGAGATGAGGCGAGACGAGGGGATTCAGATGAGGGAGCGAGAGGAGGGGGTCGAGATGGGGAAGTGGGACGAGAGGATCGCGGCGAGGGAGCGAGAGGTGGGGGTCGAGACGCGGGACTGAAAGGAGGGGGTCGAGAAGAGGAAGTGAGACCGGGGGACCGAGATGAGGGAGTGTGAGGGGGGGATCGAGACGAGGTGGTGATGGGAGGGGGACGAGATGAGGCGAGACGAGGGGACTGAGATGAGGGAGCGAGATGAGGGGGCCGAGATGAGGGACTGAGAGGAGGGGTGCGAGATGAGGAAGCGAGACGGGGGATTGAGAAGAGGGAGTGAGTGGAGGGGATCGAGACGCGGTAGTGATAGGAGGGGGTCGAGGTGAGGAAGAGGGACGAGGGGATTGAGAGGAGGGAATGGGACGAGGGGATTGAGAGGAGGGAGTGAGGGGAGGAGGTCGTGATGGGTTGGTGACAGGAGGGGAGAGAGGAGGAAGATTTGGCTTGAGAGTTAATACAGCAGGACCATTGCGCTGGCTGAGAATAGAGGACTGGGGAGAGAAAGTCCGTGCAACAGATCGTGCTACATTCACTGCTACATCTCCTGCTACAGTGCCTGCTACAGTTCCTGCCAAAGAGTCTGCTACAGTGTCTGCCACCGATCCTGCTACAGTCCTGGCGCCGTTAACCGCTACATTTCTTGCCGCCTTCACTGCGACGACATTCCGGTTGGCGGCAACAGCAGCAGCTGTGGCTGTCGCCGTGACTCCAGTAACCACTTGTGCCTTCATAGATTCCGCAGCCTTTTGCGACGTCTCAAAGGTCGTAACAACTTGTGACTTCACGGATCCCGCTGCTGCTGCCGCCGCTGCTGCTGCAACCTTAGCAGCAGAGACCGCAAGCCGACCAGCAGACTCAGGGTTCTGAAGCCAGTCGCTGTTTTTCATCATTGAAGCGAAATCCATGCTCTGGCTCTGCTTGTGGTTGATCATCGCTCTCCTTGCGACCCCGCCTTTCTCTCCTCCTCCTCCTCCACCACCTCCCCCTTCCCCTCTTCCAAATCCTCTTCCTCTGTTCTCCCCCGGCCCGCGAGGAGAGACCATCCCCGGAAGACCATAGCTCTCGGGAGGAGCGATCAGCCTCCACTCAACTGTGGTGCTGACCTCCGTATCAGATCTGGTTTGGCGGATTTGATACCCCGGCCGGCCGGAACCCGCGGCCTTGACTGATATCGAAGCTGACGAGGCTGAGGTCGAGGGACGGTCGAAGCGAGACGACAGAGCAGAGGAGGAAGATGGAGGAGAGGACTTTTGAAGCGCGTCAAAGGGAGGGGAAGACGGAGGAGAGGAAGGGGGAGAGGAAGAGAAGGACCAAGAGGGAACGGGTAGGTCGCTGGAGGAATGGCATGATAGTACAGGGCTGCGGAAAAGCCTGTTCTGCCGCTCCTGCTGCTGCTGCAGTTGCTCCTGCTGCCGCCGCCGCTCCTGCTCCTGCAGTAATTGCTGCTGCCGCTGCTTCTCGGGCAGCTGAGAGCCGCCCTGCTGTTTCTCCTTGCGCTTAAGATCAGGGTTGCGCAGGGTGGCACAGAGGATCCGCCACGTGCTGTCAGCATGCACCACCGTCTGCTCCGCTTCCTTTGCTTGCTCCGTCTGCTCCGCTCGCCTGGCTTGCCTTGCTGCTTGCTCCGCTTCATCCTCCGCTTCCTCTGCTCTCCTTCCAGACCTCCCCCATTCCTCCTCGAGATCATCCGCTCCTAGCGCCACGCGTCCGATCATCGAATCTCGACCGTCCATTCTTGAAACGCGTATCAGAGCTCCTCCCCCGCTTCTGCCGCCCCACGCGTCCCTCTCCTGGCCCTTAGTTCTCGAGTCTTCAAGTCCGGATTGACCTCCGCGAGCCTCTCCTTCCGCCTCTTCCGCAAGGGAGCGAGAAGCGCTGAAGAATGGATTGGGGGAGCGACCTGCGGGGGACGAGAAACAGCGGGGAGAGCACGGGAGAATGCGAGGAAGGGGGTGAACGAGGAACAGTGGTAAGAGCATGGGAGAATGAGGAGAAGGGGGGAGGGCGAGGAAAGGGAGAAAGAAGGGAGCGAGAGGTGGGGAAAGGGGAGGGGGGAAAGAGGCAAACGGGACGGCGGAAGAGAAGGGGAAGGGGGTTTAGCTGGAGACCTGTCTCCGTAAGATCTGGAAAGTTTCTAGAAGCGTTCTCAATTTTCCGTTTCTGTGACTTCTGCGTTTGTCAATGTGGAGAATAAAACTTGGAAATTTTTGTTTTATCTTATCATCATCCAGTGAAAGAGAGCGAGGGGAACCGTGGGAGGAGAAATCACATGTGCTAGTAACGAACAAGGTAGGGAGGGAATAAGGAGGGAAAGGATGGAGAAGGAAAGGAGTTCTTTAGCAAGCGTTCATATTCGTTTGCATCCCACCATCATCATCCCACCATCATCATCCAGGGAAAGAGAAATCACATGCACTAGTAACGAACAAGGCGAGGAGGGAGAAAGAAAAGAAGGAAGTTTCTAGCAACCGTTCACAATTTTTCGTTTGCGTCACTCTGTGTTTGTCAATGTAGGAAGATAAACTTACCAACATTTGTTTTATCTCATCATCATCCAGTGGACGAGAGCGAGGAGCGAGGGAAAGGAGCGAGCGAGCAAGGGGAACCGTGGGGAGAGAAATCGCATGCGCTACTAATAACGAACAAGGTACGGAGGGAAAGGAGTGAAAAGGAAAAGCAGGGGGAGAGCAAGGAGGGAACGGGAGCGAGCAAAGGCGGGATATTTGGGGAGGAGCAAAAAAAATAAGGGGCTGGGAGGTGAGAGAAGGGGAAGGGAAGGCAGGGAGTAGGAAGGGGGAGCGAGAGGGGAAGAGGATGGATTGGAGACAACGGAAGTATTAGTAACCAGTTTTGGCATACCTGGTGCCGCGATTTCGCCACAGGATCCAGATTTTTTCGCCCACTCGCGAACGCGATCCAACAAATCGCCCAAGGAATGTTTCAGCTTGCCGCTCGTCACCAGCTCGTCGTCCGCTGCGATGGTTACAATCCTCCACGAAATCGGCATGCCGTTTCGCCCAGATCCCTGCAGTCGCAAGGGTATCGCTAGCAGAGGATAAACGTCGTACGCGTCGCCAGGTTCGCGCGCCTGCGACCCAATCTCCAGCGCCTCCAGCGGCACGTTGTCGCACGCCGTTACAAGCGAATCTGTGCGCTCGTTAACCCGCGGCTCGTCCTTACGACCGTCCGAACCGCCAGATTCAGAATCACCATCATTCGCATCATAACGGGAAAACATCGACATGGATCGCGACGCGAGCACGCACGTCTGCGGCAGGATGACGATTGCGACGGCGATGGCGACGCCGGCGATGCAGGCGACGACGCCTCCAAGTAGCAATCGGTCTTCACTTTAATACGACTGCCGTCTAGGCCCAATACGACCACCTTCCGCTTCTCCAGCAGGAGGGGATCGTCGCGGCGCCGAAGCTTTTGGCTCGCAGGCCCGCGATCGGCGGAGGGGGACTTGGCGGCGCGGCAGACGAAGGAGAAGGTGCAGGCGGGGAAGGGGGGACCAGGGTGGCGCGGGGAGGTGAAGGAGTCGGCGGAAGAAGGGGGGGGCGGAATGAGGAGGATGTCGTGCCATATGGAGGACACGTGGCCGGCCGTGATTAGCGGGAGAATGCTCGTGGAGGATCCGACGCCCCGAAGCGGCGGCATGATGATGTTGTAACCACTACGAGTGGTAGAAGTAATAATAGTAGTAGTAGTTATGGCGAGGCAGCAGAGAAGTAGTACTACTGCTACTCGTGTGATGCGAGGATGAAGAGGCGGAAATGGTAAGGATTCTGGTGCAGCTGTGCGAGTTTATATGATGATCAACGAGGCCTCGAGCCCAGCTTCTGATTCTCAGAGGCTTCTGAATTCCCGAGGCCTCTGAGAATGAGAAATAGTACTGCTGCGTTGCCGCGTCGAGCGGTTTAATGATAGATTCGTCCGGAGAATGGTCCCTCCGACTCGGGTGTCGAGGCATTCCAAGTCGCGGTGAAGCGTCGCGACGAGCAATGGTCCCTCCGGCTCGGAAACGCTGCACCAGTAGGAAAAACGACGAAGACTACCCGACCTCGAATAGTAACACTGTTGTTCGTCTCCGGTCCCGCGCACCCCCAAAGCTACGTCGCTCGTCTCGCTCTGATTAGCATGTAGAATTTTAGCCAATCGAAACTCCCCATAACAGTCGGCTCCCTGATCGGTAGTGTAGCGTAAGAGTGCATTTCGAAGTAAGGAGTCCATCCGACGCTTGGACAGTCTCGAGCCTTTTTTTTTTGCTAATGGTGAACGGCTACTCCCCTTGATTTAACCTGACCAAGTGAGACGTTACAAAATGCTGTAGTCACTGAGAGCTGTTGTTTCACCGCCCTGTGGATGCGTGGGGGCAGCGGCAAAGGTTGATTAATGGATAACACCAACCGGATAATTTTTCTGTCCCTGAATGTCAACGGCCTGGGAAGTCTAGGAAAGCAACAAGCAGTCAAACGTTGGATCAGAACATCCGCAGACATGTAATAATGGCGGACACAAGAATTGCGGAAGACCACAATTTCTGGACTGAACTGCGGCCCAGCAGCATGGTCGCAGTGGCAGCACCTACCAGAGCTGGCGGTTTGGCCGTCCTGAGTTTCAAGGATGGGGTACAGATAGAGGATGTTCAGCGTCACCCTTCGGGTAGACTGTTACACGCCCGGCTGAGGTGGGGGACGAGGGTGCTGCGGGTACTGGCGGTGTATTTCCCTGCGCAACCGCTACCAAGGGGGAGTTTCCTGGGCACCGCCTTCAAGGACGTTACGGACAGCCTGCCAAGGGGGGAGGATCTTGTGGTGGCAGGGGATTTCAACATGATTGGAGACCCCATACTCGACAAGTCAAACAGGCAGGGGGTGACGGGCGATAACGGCCGAATGATGCAGATGCTAGGGGATTTCCACGCGAAGGATGTGTTTCGGGAGCTGTATCCGGACGAGAGACAGTTTACTTTCTACTGCAAGTCGGCGAAGGTCAGCTCGAGGATTGACAGGGTGCTAGTGTCCCAGTCCATGCTGCACCTGGTGATGGAGGTGAAGCACAAGAAGGTGCCGGTGGGGATTACAGACCATAAGTTTGCAGTGAGGTTGAGGCTTGGGTGGAGGGGCCCGCGTGAATCAGGCCCGGGGTTGTGGCGTTTCCCGGCAAGGCTGTTGAAGCGGCCAGGAGTGGCGAAAGCGATTGCGGAAGTGGTTCGGAAGCACCGAGAAGAAGGCTGTGGTGACTTCGACAGGTTGACGAGGGGCTTAACTGCGAAGCTGAGGAAGTATGACAAAGAGGAGAGGAAGCGGGTGAAGCTCACGAGGGGTATTCTGGAGGAGCAAGTAGAGCAATTACAACACAAGGTGATGGCTGAACCCTACGACGATGAGGTGCAGGCGCTGCTGTCCAGCCGGGAGGCGATGCTGCAAAGATATTGGGATGGGAGGAGGAATTTGATGCAGTTAAGGACAGGGCTCAAGATACAGCTGGTTGGGGAAGCGCCAACGAGTTTCCTGACGGCGCTGGTCAAGAGTAGGAAGGCAAGAACGGGGATAAAGGAGTTGGTGAGAAATGGGGTCAGCCACACAGAGGCACGGGAAATACTGGATGCGGCTACCTGTCATTTCAAAGAGGTGTTCGATGAAGCGCTGGCAGGTGGTACCGAGCCAAGGCTGGAATGGTCGCCGAGGAAGACGCTGGACGTGGTGGCTGCAGAGAGCCTGACGAAAGACTGGTCAGAGCAGGAGGTTAAGCAGGCGCTCAAAGAGCTGGCCAACGACAAATCACCAGGATGGGACGGGCTGCCCAAAGAGCTTTTCCAGCGGCATTGGGAGTTGCTGCGGGAGCCGATGATGAAGATGATCTGGGAGTTCACCGCGACAGGGAAGTTGCCGGATGCGGCAAATGAGGCGGTCACTATACTGCTGTACAAGAAAGGTGCGGAGACGGATATAAAGAATTATAGGCCGATTACACTGCTTTCAGGGGTGTACAAACTCCTCGCGAAAGTGGTAGCGACGAGGATGAAGGCGGTGCTGGGTCAGGTGATCTCAAAGGAGCAGTACGGCTTCTTACCTGGGAGGAGGTTAACGGACGCAGTGTCGATGGTAGCTGATATGATTGAAGCAGGCCGGAACGAGAACAGTGACTGGTACCTACTCCTGATCGACTTCGAGAAGGCGTACGATTCAGTGCGCAGGGGCTTCATGATGGACACAGTCGCCAAGCTGGGCTTCCCGCCGAGATTTGTACGGTGGATAGAGGCCCTGCACAGAGATGTTCACACAAGGCTGTGTGTTAACGGCTGGGTGGGAGAGCAAATCGAGATGAGGAAAGGGGTGCGCCAAGGCTGCCCACTGGCGCCGTACCTTTTCTTGTGCGCGGTGGAGCCACTGAGCCGGTTAGCAGAGGAAAGGAAGCTGGGAATCGGGGAAGGTAACTGCGACAGGCTGTCATATGTGGGGTACGCGGATGACACGACCTTGCTGCTGGAGGGAGAGCAGCAATTGAAGGATGCGGGCGTGCTGCTGCAAGAGTACGCGGAGGTGTCGGGGCTGAAAGTGAACAAGGGGAAGTCTGCGGTCCTGCCGTTAGGGAGGAATGTGGGACAACAGGCACCAGGGGATACGGAGTACAAGTGGGTGGGGGCAAACGAGGTTGAAAGGCTTCTTGGAGTGTGGATCTCCCCCGGGGGGGACGCGGAGGCAACGTGGGAAAAGGCCTTTGACAG